AAATTGTTTTAAACAATACAGAAGGATAACTATATTAATGCCGGTATACCATTGGAATGTTGTTAGATCCGGCTGCAGTCCTTTCAATTAGTTGATAATTACTCATAAATAATTTTTATAAATTGTGATTTGGAGCACTTCAATCATAATGCCATGTTTTGGTCATATTTATGTAGTTTTAGATAAAGATGGTGTTCTAGAGCAAATGGATCCTGGAGAAAGATATATTGACCTTGGATGTTCAATGTATGATAACAACGAGATTCTCAGAGCTCTATGTAATGAAGCTCGTTGAATCGTTGAAGAAGATGAAACAACTTATAGGGAGGTACTATTCAAATTGAATTCCTTCGACTGTAATTTCTGATCAATTTTTAACCATTGGTATAAAACGATCTATGCTTGTGACCTTCTATTCTTTGCTTTGTTGTCAAGTGATCGCTCTATGTTAATTCTTCTATAATTAAACTCATAGGGTTCATCTGCAGCTGAGGTTTTTAGAGAACCTATAGGCTTCGACTCTTGCTTGCAGTGGAGAAAAAATGAGGTCTGCACTTTGTCTACTCATAACAAATTAAGTTATCAACTTATTTCTTGTACCTACACATGTAGGTATATGTTCTTTCCTCAATCTTTTGTTTCTTTATTAGAAGAAAAAATCCTATTTGTAAACAAATCACCAATTCCTGCTGGATTCTAGTAATTTTTGTCATACAGCTTTAAGGTATTCATCTCTGTTGCTTTTTGTGAATAATTTCAGGATCTTATACCTTCTTTATTATGTGCTTTCCTGAATGTCATTAATTGTAGTTATTCCTTATATACATACATCCTCTCATAAAGGACCTAGGGCAAACTCGTGTCTCCTGTTAGCCACCTTTATATTGTAGTGATTAATTTTGTGCAGTTCATCCTATTATTCTTAGTAAGAAGGCTTGCAAAATCCTCCACTTTAATGACTTTATACTTTCATTTTTCTTGGAATAGCTTATTTTTGTTTTGAGCAACAGTTTTGATATACAGTGATGGCATTTTTTTCTTGTAATGGACCTAACTGAAACTCTTGTAGCTTCTATTTAAATTGGATTTCATTACTTGAACCTTTGT